TTACTCAGGACCCCCGCTCCCGCCTGAGACTTCCGCGCAATTTACTCAGGAAAGGCGCTCCCGTTTGAGACTTCCTCGCAATGTAATCAAGACCCCCGCTCCCGCCTGAGACTTCCGTGCAATTTGCGTGGGAACGGCGCTCCCGCCTGAGACTTCTTCGAATTTTACTCAGGACCCCCGCTCCTGCCTGACATTTCCGCGCAATTGACTCAGGAACGGCGCTCCCGCCTGAGACTTCCTCGCAATTTAGTGAGGACCCCCGCTCCCGCCTGAGACTTCCGTGCAATTTGCTCAGGAACGGCGCTCCCGCTTGAGACTTCCTCGCAACTTAGTCAGGGCCCCCGCTTCCGCCTGAGATTTCCTCACAATGTACTCAGGACTGCGCTCTCGCGTGCGACGTCCTCACAAATTATTCTGGAATTGCGTTTCGGCGCTCAGGAACCACGCACGCGCCAAGGACGCCTTCACAACGTGGTATCTTCCCTCTTCCTTCGTCCTTCCCCCTCCCCTTCCTCCCACTCTCCCTCGTTCTTCCCCTCCTCCTCTTGCAGGGCCCGCGCCAATTCCAATGGCGGGCAGAGAGATGTACGCCCCCGAAGGATTGTCCGCCCGTTCCGGTTTGCCCGTACGTCTAAGCCCGCCGGCCCCAGCAAAGAGAAATAATCCCCCCGAAAGGGGTGTGATCGAAGACGAAGAGGGCGGGTATCGAGGGTGTAGGGTATACGTGTTGAATGACTCGCGGGCAAGTAAGAGCGTACAGCCTTAAAATGGTTGTTGTTGTTGTTGTTGTTGTTGTTGTTGTTGTTGTTGTTTGGGAGGAGGCGCCCGGGGGCCGTGGCCAGTCCCTGTTCAGCAACAGCAGCAGCAACAACAACGGCGCTGACAGCTCGCAGGCTACGGGAGGCAGGCCTCCCCGGCAGAACCTGGACCCCCGCGGGCAGGGTCCACCTCTGGCAGCCTTCGGATGTTATCGTCTGGCCCTCGGTCCTCAACAATAACAATGCAGTCATACACCCGGGGGTGCGTAGGACACTGAATTCCTGTGCAGGTGGGCACTTCAAATGCGTCCTCGTCTGAGGCCAGATGGAAGCTCCACGTGAGCAGACTTCAAACACTGATTGGGCGGAGGGAAGGAAAGAGGGGAGGGGAGGGAGGAACCCTCGGCCCTCGGTCGTTCAGAACCGCCTGGCACATCCCCATCCCGATCGGGCCGTGGTATCTCAGCTCCGCCAGCCCACCACCCGAGGTGGGGGCTCGCCTCCCGAAGCCCGGAGGGAGCAGCCCACATCCCCGTCTGGGGGGGGAAATCGGCCAGTTGGGCCAGGGCCACGCTGGTGGGGATAGGGAGCGTTTCAACGATCCTCGATCGTTGTTTCCAGAATCTTGTGGAGGCTCACGAAAGGGGCTGAAGACGCTCATCCTAATGCTCCTCGGTCGTAGTGGGGCAGAACTCGGCAGCAGGAGGGAGGTCGTTCGGCGGCACCTGTTCACAGTTGTCGGGCTCGCGCGCGACGCAGGTGGCGTTCGGGGCTTCCTCCCCCCTCCTGGCCGGGCACGCGAATCCCGCGCAAAGTTCTGTGGCGGCCCCCTTTCGATCTTCGAGGATCGAGGTCGGGGATCGACGCTCGAGACACGTGGGCCCTCTTTGACCCTCGAGTGCTGGACATCTCTTGGGCCCCCAGGGCCCGGGGGGCCATCGGGGACCTCCAGAGACCTCCCAGGACCTTCTGGGACCGTGCTGCTTTTCTCGCTCCTGTCCCTGGTGTCTCCCAGGCTCGCTGGATGGTTCCATCCTCTTCTCCGCTGGCAGCCCGGGTTCGCGCGCAGCGAGCCGCGACCCATCTGCGGCCGCCCCTGGTGGCGGCTGCGCCCACTGGAAACGGGAGCGGGAGGAAGAGGTCCCACACCTCCTGCCCCTCGCCCATGCCTGCCCTCTCCACGCTCGGCCCCCCCCCCGACTGCCCTTCCCGTTGTCACAACGGGAAGGGCAGTCGGGAGCATCGCGCGGGCGCTCGCGTTCTCGCGTTCGGTCAGCCGAGATTCGTCCAACGCTATGCCGATCATTTGGCGTTCAAGCGTCTATTTTTTTGAAATACGTTTTGTCGTCAAAAGCTTCGCCAGCAGAACAGCATTACTGAGTTGTGCTGTCCTTCCCTCGCCTTCGGATCCCCCGGGCAGGCCGGTCGCGCTGCCCCCCTGCCATGCCCCCTCTGGCGGTCACAGGGCGCTGTGCAGCAGCACGAGGGCGTGAGCCGGAGGGCGGCCGGTCCTGCGAGAAGTGGCCTTTCTGCACCCTTGCCGCTATTTGCCAGCCTCGAGCGTATCCCTATCCCTGAGATTGACGCGCCAAAGGGCGATGACAATCTTAGGGATTCGCCCCCAAAAAAGAAGGGAATTCCTAAGATTGGCATCGTGATGAGGAGGTGCCCAGCATAGGGATAGGGATAGGGATATGTTCCAGGCTGGTACGTCAGTCGCGTGGCTTTCTTCAGGCGCCGCCATCCCGCCCCTCTGCTCCTCTGCGTGCCTGCTGCCCCCGTACCTGTGCTGTGCGCCCGGTGGTCAGGCGTTCGCAGCGCGGTGCAGGGCTCCCCATCCAGGATCACCTCTTTGCTCTTCCGAGCCCCCTCCTGCGCAGCCTGCGCGCGCAGGTGGAGCATTCAGCTGCAGCGGCATCGGCCAGACGAGTGGAACCAATGGTGCGCTATCGTCATGCGTTGTGTCAATGACGACTCTGAATTGCAGGACCTCGCCGTTGCCAGAATGCGCAGGCAGGCAAGCAGCGGGCACCTGAAGAGGGGACGATATCGGACATTGCAATCGATCAGATGGCGAAATTGGACGCCCTTGCAGCCATCCAGCTTTGGACATAAGTCGTTGAAGTGGTAAGTCGTTGTCTAATTTGTCTGTTTGGAGAATGTCATGCTGGCTCCACCAAGTCATTCGACTTGCTTTTTCCCGCTCAGCTTTGATAGTGGCTGTATTGTTTGCATGTCGGTGGCCAGTCTAATGCCGACCGAATTCGTTTCACTTCCCTCGTGCTTCTGTCGCCGCTCTTTCATGCGCCCCCCTTATATTGACCTTTCAGTTCGGACACACAGAGCGGAACTGGCTCAAGCACGAATAATCCAAATGCCAGGATCTCTTGTTTTTGTGTTCCACGCATCGATACGCGTTTGAGTGACGGCAGATCTCTATGATGTCTTCGTTGTTGATGGCTACATTCTTGCCAGCCCTCTCAACGCTTGCGCGTCAGGACGACAGCGGTGCCCTCGTTTGACTATGGTTCCTCGTCTTGCTGCTCGTCGAGTCAAGCTTAGCGACCACACCACATAATCTAGCGAGCTGTGCCAGCGGACATGGCCTACAACTCACCCGTATCTGGAGGACGATTACAGCAATGATAGATGCTTGGACCAAGGGCATGTGATTTAAGCATCGGTAGCGTCTACCCAGGGGTCCAGATTTACAAACGTGCCAGGGCAACACCCGAGACATAGTCAGCTCTGCATGTGTTCCAAGATGTATGTGTTTACGTATGCACTGGTGGGGCTTCATTTCGTACCCGTGGCGATCCCCAGAGGGGGCGTTTTAGAACATGTGTTTGGTTGACCATCCGTTTTCTGAATGATATGTTGATATGGTTATAGTTTGTAAACTGGTCCACTCTACAAGTTTGCAATGCACTGATGTTTTCTTGCTTGTTCTCCAGCTGACTGCGGCAAGCCCGCCACAGTGCTAGAACGCACATGGATACAGAACATGCGGCGCCCTGCATCCCGAGGCTCGGAGGAGCCGCAGCATGTGACACACTCTTCTGCGTTGTGTCGGGGTGTCTCTCCTCGTGTTTGTCAGGCTTGCTCTGTTCCTCCCTCCTCTCTTGGGTACTCTCTTGGGCTTCTCTGGGGCCCCTTGGAGGCGCCCTGGGGGCGCATTCGGGGCCCCTGGGAGCTTCTTTTGCCGTCTCAGGGCGCTCTTGGGAGTCTGGCACTTCTGCAGTTAGTTTTGGGGCCCCTCTGGGGCGTCGTTGGGCCCTGAGGGGTCGTCTTGGGGACTCTTGGGCCGTCTTGGGCCTCCTTGGGCTATCCTGGAGCCGTCTTGGACGCCTCTCGGGCAATCTCGAGTCACTTGGGCTGTCTTGAGGCCCTCTTGGGCCGTCTTGGAGATTTTCTTGGCGTTTTCCTTAGCCGTCCTGGGCCGACGGAAACCCGATAAGGTGAGAACGCGAACATCTGCTAAAACCTTAGGGGATATCAGTGGTTTCGGCATCTTCGGGCCCTCCTGGAGGTCCTCTTGGGCCTCCTGAGGCTGCCTTGGAGCCGTCTGGAAACTATCTTGGGCCGTCGTGAAGCCATCTTGGGCCGTCGTTGAGGCATCTTCGGGCTACGTTAGCGGCAGGCTTCTGTCTTAGATTGAAGTCTCAGGGCTCACGGCAGTCCATCATTTCCGTCTGCGGCCACGGCGAAGGTGGGTTTTGGGTATTGTTTCGTCTTTTGCACGAGGCCAGGATTCGTGTCCGATCGTCCTCCACACCAAAGGGTGGTCCGCACTTTTTGCAATCATGCCGTCCTTTCTCTAGTGGTTCTCGGCGCGCCCTGGCCGATAGTTCTAGAAGCCAGCACGTTACCGCTGATTGTCTAGAGCGTGTTCTTACGAGCGGGGGTGCGGAGCAGTCCTTGAAGGGGACGGCCGCCCCTCTCGGCTCCAGTCGTTCCTTGAATTCGTTCGGTGACACAGAGCAAGGAGACAGCAACATGGTTGTTGCAGTTGCCGGGGATTTTGGTGCGAGGCAGGCTCAGGGGCGCAGCGCCTACTGGAGGGACATGGATGGAGAAAGGAGAGGAATCTTACCTCCCCAGTCGAAGTTCAAACCTCCACATGGGAGGCTTGGTATCTTCGGGGCGAGCTCCAAGGATCGCTATATGATCTCCATGCGCTACATTCCTCGGCCATGGCGTATCCCGCGTAACGCCATTTTGCGCACCGTCAGCTTGCGGCTTTCATGATTCCGCCGTTGTGCCAGAAACATTGCCTCTGATGCAGTCTACCTGCGTGAGGCTCTGGTCTTCGAGCCGGTTCTGCTGGATGCTTTGCGCGCCCCATGCCGCTCTTGCGGCGGCGGGTAGACGCACGTAGGGCTGGTCGCCGCCGCCTCCGTAGAGATCAACGGGCGGACACCAGCGCAGTGCAAAGTTATCCACCGTGGGCGATGTCTGTCCCAGGGCGGCTGGAACATGTGTTGCCTACTCTGCACGGTCTCGTCACATACAGTCGCTCCGTCTGTTATGTACTGCTGTGCTTGATTGTGCCTTCCCATGCTGTAGTCCAGCCTGCTCTGCGTCGTGATGCTCCCTTCTCTTTTGATCCAGTTGGTCTCTTCTGGAGGGTGAGGAGGAGGAGGAGGAGGAGGAGGAGGAGGAGGAGGGAGGAGGAGGGAGGAGGGAGGAGGGAGGAGGGAGGAGGGAGGAGGAGGGAGGAGGAGGGAGGAGGAGGAGGGAGGAGGGAGGAGGGAGGAGGGAGGAGGGAGGAGGGAGGAGGAGGAGGAGGAGGAGGAGGGAGGAGGAGGAGGAGGAGAGGAGGAGGAGGAGGAGGAGGAGGAGGAGGAGGAGGAGGAGGAGGAGGGGGAGGAGGAGGAGGAGTGGTATGGTTCGCTCTGGTGGAGCACGAGTCATTGTTTGCGCTTCGCGGGTCCCCGACTTCCCATCCAGGGCATTATCTCCTATCCTCCTCCTCCTCCTCCTCCTTCTCCTCCTCCTCCTCCCCCTCCTCCTCTCCTGCGCCTCTTCCCCATCCTCCTCCACTCCTCCTCCTCCTCCTCCTCCCTCCTCCTCCTCCTCCTCCTCCCATCCCCAGGCTAGGCTCCCTGAGCAGAAAAAGCGTAGGAGCATGCAGTGGAGCACAGAGGGGGGTGGCAGCCGCCGGGCCGAAGCTCAGGATCAGCACGAGCAGGTCTGGGAGCCAACGGTGAAGCCCATCGCGGATTCTATGATCTGGACGCTCCCTGAAGACTTTTGGCTACATCTTGGGGCGCTGCTATGGCCATTTTGGAAGCCTTCGGCTTTCTCCTGGGCCCCTCTTCGAGCCTTGGGGGCCCTCTCCGGGTCGCCGTGGAGGAAATGTATCAAACAACGAGGACGTCAGCCTCGCTTCGTCGGAGCCTGACAAACCGTCTCTTGGAGCACTCTTGGAGCGGTCTTAGGGCGCTCTTTGGTGCTTTGGGGGTCATGGTGGGCCCCTCTTGGGGCTCTCTGGGGCTGTCTTGGAGCAATCTTGAGGCTTCAGACGCCCACCGGAAGCGGAAAGGCTTGATGGCAACAATCATTGAGCAATTTCTGGTTTTTTCCCCAGTCATCATGTGGTGTTGGGTCTTCCTTTTGAAGAGACCGCCCTGCGTCCTCTCCTCCTCTCCTCCTCTCCTCTCCACCTCCCCCTTCTCCCTCCTTGACATACCACTCACAGGGCTCGTGGCCCCATATGGAGCTCCGCCGAATGCCCCAGTGGCAGGGTCCGCATGACGCCCATTTTGACACACACACACACACACACACATTCACACACATTCACACACATTCACACACATTCACACACATTCACACACACACACCTCACCCTTCGTGGCCCCAGAGGGAGCTCCACCGAAGGCTCCAGTGGCAGGGTCCGCATGCGCCCCACGCCCAATTTGGCACACCCCTCACACGGTTTGTGGCTCCATAGGGGGGCTTCACCGAAGGCCGCAGTGGCAGGGTCCGCATGAGCCCGACGCCCATTTTGGCGCACCCCCCTGCACAGTTGGTGGCCAGAGGGAGCTCCACCGAAGGCCCCAGTGGCAGGATCCGCATGCGCCCGACGCCCATGTGAGCACACCCCTCACACGGTTCGTGGCCCCGTATCCACCGAAGGCCCCAGTGGCAGGGTCCGCAGGTGGCAGCCGCCCATTTTGATACACCCCTCGCACGGTTCGTGGCCCCAGATGAAGCTCCACCGAAGGCCCCAGTGGCAGGGTCCGCATGCGCCCCACGCCCAATTTGGCACACCCCTCACACGGTTCATCTCACCATAGGAAGTTCCATCGACGACAATATGTACAATTGCGTTCCGCGCAGTTTCATATGTTCGGGTCCTTCACTTGGCTGGGTTTGGCATCTTCCGAGCGTCCCTTGAGATGCCCCGTGGCCACTCGCAGCCGTCAGAGGGCCGCCTTGCGGCCTACTGCAGGCATGCTGGAGGCAGCAGTCTTGGGGCTCAGTAGCCCATCGGGAGCGACATACTCGAATGATGCTTGCTTCCAGGGAGCATTCTTGCACGGCTCCGTGGCCCTTTGGAGACACACTGGGGCCCGTGTTCGGGCCTCTTCTCTCTTGGGGGCATGCTGCAACCCATCTTGAGCATTCTGGCCATGCGATGCCGTCTTTGGGCGCCCTGCCAAATCCGTGGCATTACGCCAGCTCGGATCCATTTTTGTGTTCGCGCCGCCAACTCCCACCCGCCCTCCCACTAGAAAAAGTCGCACGCGAGACTCTGCATAGGCAGAGGTCGCCGTGGCTATCTCGGGGCCCTCGGCGGGCGTCGTGCGGACGTCACCAAAGTGATGCTGCCCGCCCCAGCCACTTTCGTGGCGTCTCGGAGGCTTCCCAGGCTCGTGCAACGCTGGTATGGTGCGGAACGGGATGCAAGTGCAGCGCGCAAACGTGTTCAAGGTGTTCAGAGCTTTCGCCTGCCCAGTGCCAATGCGCAGGGCCAGGGTGTATGTTTTGAAACGCTTCCTGGACTCAGCAGGGCGATCAAGACGAGACTGTGTCGGGGCCGGCTGTAAGAAAACGGCCGAAACGATTGGGGAGGTCAATGGATGGCCCAGATGGTTTTGGACTCGCATTTGAAGACCCGTAGATGAGGTTGCGTCGAAGCCAAGGGAGGCTGCCAGAACGTCGGGGGGGGAGGGGCGCGACACAAGATCTCATCCGCCGCATAGTTGAGATGGGGGCGGTGGGCTAGCGGCAGCTTGGCGTAGGGAACCTCTATTGTGAGGCTCCTGGTCATCAGCTTGTAAAGTGGGATGGCGCTGCTGTTCTGGGATAGATTGCACTCGCTGTGGCTGTGGCTCGGGCTCTATGGTGCGGAGCAATTGCTCGCAGCTGTTGCTCGAACGCTCCCAGCGCGTCCGAGCAATTATGGGTCTCTGGAAGCCTTCCCGCAGTGCCATTAGCTCTGTCCCTCCTGGCTGCCAGGGCGCGGGGCTTCCTGGCTTCCCGCGGCAACTTTCAGGTCCCCAGTTTCGTTCACCACATTCGCTCTCCCGCACTCACGCAATACGGGCCTGGCGCCAGAGAACAAAGTGCCTCTCGGCGTCGTTTCGGCCTAATATTACGGCGCCCCTGGCTTGGCGAGACCTTCAGTTGGGGGAAGGCTGGCTTTGCCAGGGCAATTTCAATCTCTTCCCTTTGTCCTCCAACGTTCAGCCTCCTCAGTGTGCCTTCGCGTTCCCCTCCCCGCGTCCACCTTACGCGTCAAAACCTGCCCCCCCCATGCGACTCGAGGGACCAATGCTGGCACGGCCCAGATGGGTTGCCCTCTCCTGCCCTCTCCCCCGCACTTTTTGTCTGTCTTCTCCACCCCATCCCCTCTTCCGCCCATCCACAATAACACCATAGCAGTACTCCTTCTTTCTCTCCACAAGTGCTGCCTTGTGCGGGAGCGCACCCCCTCCCGCATGTGGTTCTCGCATGATTTCGCAGCTGTCCCATTTGTTTTTGTCGGATCGTTGTCGGTCGTTCAAGGATGGTGCTCCCGCTGCAGCGTTGGCTGCATTTCGGGATAGACGTACTGTGCTCTCGTCGTTCAGGTTTACGCTCTCGCCCGAGCGCGGGCCACCATTCTCCATTCGGGTCGTTTCTCGTCGATGTGTTCCCCCCCTCATTGTCCCTCCTCCGCCTCCCCCTGGTCCTCATGCTTCTTCTACTCCTTCTGCTCCCGCTGCTGCTGCTCCTCCCCCTGCTCTTCATCATGCCCATCCGCCACCTCCTCCCCCCTCTCCAACGCACTAAGCCTTCGTGCTTGCTCAATTTACTAAGCCCCCCGACTCTGACCTCGCATCACACGATTGGGCCGTGTTGGGGATCAAGGGCAGTTGGGACATTCCAGCCAGCGGATCCAACATAATTCAATGCATTGGGCAACGATGGGCGGGAAATGTAGGTTGGCAGATATGGCGCGAGCGCACCTGGCTTGCTTCCGTCCCCTAGCCCTCGTCCCCATCCACCTCCTCCCCTCCCTTCCCTCAATTGCCCTCTCGCTCACTCTGCCTCTCCTGTCCCGCCACCACCTCCTTTCCCGTTTCTTCCCCTGGCCAGATCCAGCCGCCGATTTGTCCTGTCTGCACCCTTCTCCCTCGCCCTCCCCATCCTCTTCCTGTCGACACCCCTCCATGCCTCCCCTGTGGAGCGGGGCTTGGTCATGGATTCCAGGGTGACGAGGACGCCACTCGTTGTCCTGTACAGGGATGGTGGTGGATTCCGCCTCGACGGATCAAGCAGATTGCTCGGACGCCTCGCCAGGCGTGCGCGGCGCTTCCAGTGCAGCCTGGCTCGCACGGAGCTCTGCCCTGGCTGGCAGGGCGCCCCCCCGAGGGCGCGGGCCAGCCTGGGCTCCGAGGGTGCGCCCGTCCCGTCCCGCCGGGCCCGCGGTCCAAAGGGAGTGCGGGCCTGGAGGGGGCTCTGCTCACGGAGTCTTTCAATCGTGCCCCTCCTCGTCCTCGTCTTAGCTCACTCCCCCCCCCTCCTCCTCGCCCCCCCCGTCCCTCCCGCCCCCTGCTCCCCGCCGTGCCTCGCCCCTGGCATAAGCGGCTCTCCTCGTCCTGTCCTTCCTGCACTAGGTAGTGGTGACGCTTCTGAGGCGGCATGGGTGGACAGAGCCATCGCTGGGGGGAACAATAAGTGGCATAAACATAAGAACTCGGAGGTCCGCGCGGGTTTCTCGGATCGGCGCTGGACCCCCTCCCTGGCGCGCGGAGCGCGCCAGGGGCGGCGCCGGAGGGGCCGCCAGGGGGATCCAGAGCGGATCCGAGAAGTCCGCGCGGACCTCCGAGTTTCATATGCTTGTGTTACTTTTTTTTGTTGCACTCATCGCCGACATCCAGAGGCCACCACCTGCAGGAGGGGCTTTCTCTCAGTGCGCCGGCAGCGCGCTGCGCACTGCCATTCCTCGGGGGTGGACAGACCTCCTACCCTGACACGTCGATCAGTGAGTTGTCCGTTTTCGGTTCTCGAGAGGGCGCCGCGGCCGTCATTTCCAGGCTTGCGCCCGCCAGGGTGGGGCCCGAGGTCGTTTTCACTAAACCACGTTTTACTAAAGGGAGGTCTATCCATCCCCGAGCACTGCCATTTCGCGTGCGACCCTTGGATGCTCCAGGGCGTGGCGCGCGCGCGCGCGCCCCTCGCGCCCCTCGGAGCTCCTCGAGGTACACGGGGCGCGGGAGCCCCTGCATCTTGCGGCCGCTGGCCCTCCTCGCCCCTCTTCCAGCTCGCTTCCCTCCCCGGCGCATCTTCCTGGCGATACAGTCAGGTCCTTGACCTAAGGAACCCAAAATAAGGAACGAGGCCCCTTTTTTCCATAAGTTCAACTTCGATTTCCGATCGAAGACCTAAGGAAAACCTGAGGCAAGCTGCGAAACACTTAAGGAACGCGGAGCCCCTCCCCAACGAAAAGGGTTCCTTCTTCAGGGCCCCGACTGTAGTGGCTTCCCCGTTTCGCACTTGGTCCAGCACTGTCTTGCGGCTCTGGTGGTTTGGATGGGGGACGAGTTCGGGAAAGGCCCAGCGCGATTCCCTCAGGGACGAACATCTTCGAGTGCAGCTGATTATCCGGCGCAGTCGGGACGGCATAGAGGCAGATGTACGCTTGTGTCCCACACTGGGCAGGGTAGGAAGGTTGGGGGAATAGCGGGGGAACGGGGGGGAACCACTTGCCCCTTACATTCTCAATGTTTCCTGCTCCTTTGGTCGTTCCCTCTCCCTCGCACCCCTTGCCTCCCCTCCGTCGGTCTGACTCACCTTCCCTCTTGCCCTGCCTGCGTCCTCCCTGCCCCAAGCGCATGGTGGGGTGCCAGGCCGATGGCCACTGGGGTGCAGCACGGAAGCAGCATGGGTCATGGGCAGCAGCGGGAGGGAGAGGATGGGGCAGGGGGCGGGCGGAGGGAGGGAAAGGGAAGGGACGAGGTAGAGATTGATGGGAGGGGATGGCGCGGGGGATAGCAGCTAACAGTGGAGCAGCCCAGAAGAAAGGCCGGGTAGCGCGCAGATCAGTCGGGCCACCCGCCACAACCGCGGACATCGTGACGTGGGTAACGTAACATTGGGACGCTCGCGCAGAGAGTTGTACCGCGATGGCCTACAGCGTACAATGATCAATTGATGTGCATATAATCGGCCTGAGTCGTGCCACGGTCCTTGGATGGTTAGAACGGCCAACGACCGTCACGCCGCTGGCCACCAGGCCTCGGATTCTGATTGCACCGTGTCTACGAGCACCTCGCCCGAGAGCGTCGTGATAGCGAAGTAACTCTCGCCTCCTCTTCCCTCACCAGTACAGGGCTGTTCAGGTCGCTACGTTGACGGCACTGCTGCAGAATGCGGTAAGAAGCGCGCGCTGCACGTGTGCAATTTCATCGCCGCAGTTTGGCGCCCGCATTATTATAAGAAGCGTTGGATGGCACGACGCTCGCTGCTGATCATTCTCCATTCCCCCTTCCCCTGGCTTTCCCTACCAGTATGTTTTCTTGCCTTATTCCGTTTAGACATCCCAGCCGCCCAGACGGCCTAGGACATGCTTCCCGAAAGATCAGCGGTGACGATAATTGTAAGGGTTGTCGCGGTGCCGAATCAGCAGTTCGTGTCTCATTCATCAAGGGGGACTGCTTGTTCGGGGCTCCAGCGCGCTGTGCTGCTGTTTCGGAGCACTCTCCCCCGGGAGTTCGCACAGCTGCCTGAAGCTGGGAGACGATCGAGGTCAGTCGAATGATACATGAGAGCACTTACAAATCTTAGCAGTGCTCGTACTTTCATCGTTCCCGGGTCTCTGCCAAACAACGTTTGTTGTCGTTTTGTTCGCCGATCAGGTTGTACGGTTTCTGTATCGTTTCCAGCTTCTTCTTTGGCAGCCTCACCCTGGTCTCTCTGGGGCCATCTGGATGAATTTGCTTGCTTGATTCCCTTTCAATGCATGTCCAACACGTGGTCAAAGCGTTGGAATGACTTCTGCCGTAGACGGCTTCTTATCCAATGGAATGTGTTATTATCATTTCCAAGTTCACTGGCACGTTTGGGAGCGCTTCCACATGTTTGGCTGATTCCGTGTTGTGATTGTCTCCAGTTGCTTAAACAAGAACAGTTTCCAGGACCACGCTGTTGCCCCACACGACGGAGAAGCTGGAGACTATGAACAGTGCCTTGGACGGTTCCAACTACCACTACTAGTTTGCACCAGGTAGGTTGCACTACACAGTTGCACTGCACACCTTGCCAGTCATATATTGCACCACGCATATTGCATTACAGTGATTGCACCGCAGACGCTACGCATCCAAGGAGCAATCGCTCACTGCTTGGGATCAACGCTCGCATGTTTTCGCTCGAACAAACTTGATAGGGCCACGCTCGACGTTCACAATCGAAGAATAAGATTTGCTATCGATTGCGTGTGTTTTCGACTCGCTCGTGCCGAACCTAGACAGGCGGACGAAACAAACGATGTTGCGAAGATCACACGTCCAATGACCTCCTCTAGGGCCTGTTCAACGTATCGGGTCGGTCGAGGTGAGGTGCGCGGCCAGCACCCAAAGCTACATCTGCGCTGAGCAGGCCTCATGCGATCGATCGCAGTACTCTCCGGCTCCGTCCCGCCCCGCCCTCATTCTGAATGTATCCCGCGCGCTTTCCGCGTGCTTGAAAGGGACCTGGCAGCCACACCGCGTGCGGGACTTCCAGGTTTTATTCTGATGCACGGCTCGGACAGACGAACCAATATTTGTGCAGCGTTGCGTGTTCCGTCCGCCTCGCTGTTGCAAAACGCATCAGGGATGAATCAAGCGGAGGTCTTCTGTGTTCTCCATACTCACACGCCACATCCAGAGGTGACCGCTTTGCTTTGACTTGATATAGCAGGTCACGCCGTGACATGTCATGAGTAAAAGGTTTTAATCGGTTTAGTGAGAGTCATACTGGATCCAGTCCGTGGTGGTTCATACCGAGATGTACCGATGACACTTGATGACATTAGGACTCGGCATGCCATCTGAGTAGTACCATTTATCTGTACGCATTTCATGACTACTGGTGAGCTCGGTTTGATTGTATCGCTTCCAGATTTCGGCCAGCTCTGTTAGTTAATGCACAGCTTGCAGTCGGATTTGACCTACCTCTTGAAAATATGTCTCCATGGTTGAATATGTAGCCTGATAGGCATTCAGCACATCCCGCGTCGTGGCATGCCCGATTCGACATGCGTAACTATGCATGATTGGCGTCCATTTTCATGTTTCATCACTCCTGGCATCACCCTCGCTCTCGGTTGCCTTCTTCTCGGTTCTCCGTTGTTGTGTGTTAGCTCTCTCCTTCTCGTTATCTCTCTATCTCTCTCTGTATCACTTGTTCTCTGCCTCTCTCTCTGTCTCTCTGTCTCTCTTTCCCTGGCTCTCCATATATATATATAGATATATGTGTTTCTTCTCTCTCCCTCACACTCGTTTTTGTTTCTCTCTCTTTCTCTCTCTCTTTCTCCCTGCATTCTTGAATATGCCTCTCTCTCTCGCTTTCTCTTTCGTGCTCTCACTCGCTCTCTCGCTCTTTCTCTGCCTCTCTCTCTTGGTCTCTCTCTCCAACCATTTCTCGTTCTCTCCCTCATCCAAGTGTGCCACCATCGCTCATGTCAGCAAGGTGCTAGCGGCCTTCAAATGGACCTGTGAAGTCTACCACACGGCCTAGGACGGGGAATCAGCATCCCCCTTTGCCTCCCCTAGCGCCCACGTAACGCCGCCGACCGCCACAGTGAAGGTCCATCCGTGCACCGTCCCATGGACAATCGCCGAAGCACACCTCACGGACGCTGCCGATAGGAAAACGCACCACCACATACTGATGCTTGCCACCACCCATGACGTCCACGCACACGAGTCCCCTGAAGGAGGCGATCCCAGCCCTTCCCCCCAGACTCTCATTGAGAAAGCGGCCAATCGCCGCTACCTGCACGACCTCGGGGCACAGCCACAGGGCAGCCCCCCTATCAAACGGTCGCGACCACGGAGCGCCGCGCGAAGCGCCACACGCCGCACGCGCTTTAGCTGCCGCTGTGGAAGGTGGCCACATCGGCCCAGTGAAAAAGTAACCCTGAGGGCTCTGCTGACACCCCTGTGCCCTTGGAGGTGGAGTCTGCGGGCCCAGTGGTCCCACGCGGAACCAGCGACCAGCGGGACCAGCCGACAGAGGCGCTACCCTTTCCACGGACACCCATCACGGTAATTGACGGACTTCCCTTGCCCGAAGCCCGAATCATCCACGGCTCGGAAAGCGATGAGGACCGCAGGGACGCCTACTCTGAGTATTCAAGCGAGGATTTCCACGAGTTCGGATCATGCAGCGGCATACCAGATGCCGCTGCCGTTCGACTGGGATTGATGGAAGGCGCCCATGACCAGCTGGCCCAACAGGTCCACGGCTTCCAAAGCAACGTCGCACAACTGATGGTGTCCCAGTCCACGCTCACTGACGCTTCCGTCAGATTGGAAGGGGGGCTCACAGCGGTGGCAGCAGCACAGCAGTCCGCTACCAGTGCCACCAACGTCATGCGTAACCACCTACAGCAATTCT